TCATTCATCCATCCATCCATCCATCATCCATTCTCCATTTATCCATCCATCATCCATCCTTCCATCCATTCATCCATCCATCATCCTTCCTTCCGTCATCCATTCATCCATCAATCATCCATCATCCATCCTTCCATCATCCATCCATCCATCCATCCATCATTCATCCATCCATCCATCATCCATCCATCCATCCATCCATCCATCATCCATCCATCCATCCATCATTCATCCATCCATCCATCCTCAGCATTCAGCTGGATTAAGTCCACTATGACTCAAGGACAAAGTCCATGTTTTGACACAGCATCACAGAGTTCTGATCTCTGCCTCAAAGAAAGTTTGTGTGCAGAGCTGAAAGYATGTTTGTGAAGAAGACTAGTTCAAAAACCAGACTCAGTTCCACCAGTTCTGTCTGCAGGAAGGAGACAAAATTCCACCAAACTATTGTTGGAAGCTTGTGGGAGGACGCTAAAAGGAAATGACATCATGTAACACTTTACCTACACTTTAACATGAGGCGAGTTTAGGCTTTTATTCCCAACAGGCTTCACATGAGGGGGATCAGCCATTCAGCACAGAGACCCCGAGGGCAGAAAAATAGGGCTTAGGAATGGCAGTCGCTGTGGTTACCCCGCTCCAAACAAACCCAAGTTACCATCCCAACATCTCCGGCCCGGGGAACATTCAGTCCAGCTGAACCAATGAGCGCTCGCCTCTGAACAATGCCTGTCTGACTGGAAAAAGTCCCCACAGCTCAACTCCCACTTTCCGTGTGGCTGAATCACCTGACTGACACGCAGTTGGCACATCCGGAAAAACTGACGCTGTGAAACAACCTGTCACTCATCTGTCAGAGAGCAAAGATGATGTTCTGAGGACAGACGGTCCTTCATCAGTCAGTTTTACCTGTAATGAAACGCTGTGAATAACAGCTCTATTAGGATGTAAAGGTTGATCCTAAAATAGCAGGAAGAAAAACCAGGTGTGGAAACTGAGGGGGTTTACACAATCATCTACACAAGGGACTGTTGCTTGTTCTTCTTTAAAAAGGCCAAATGCAAATAAATGGGTTCAAATACAACCAGTTTTAGAATGAGACATAAATTACATGCAAATTAAGGTTAATAATAAAAATATATGTTACTATTCATTTAATATTTTAGGAAAGTCAACCTTTAGTGAACCATCTAATAGGGCTGGACGATGTGGACTAAAATCAATATCATGATATATTGACCAGTTCACCTCGATAACTACTGTCATAACACCATATACTGTGTCCATGTTCTTAGTCAAAGTACACAGTTTAGATTTTGAACAGCTTTTCTGTAGTTTATATTTGTCATTTTAGTGTTTTCAATATATTTAATAAAAAAAAAACATTTTTGGCAAGACTTCACTCAGATATAGTCATATAAATATTTAACCATCTCCATAACTTTTCAGTGCAAAAACATTAGGTATTATAATTTCATATTAAAAAAAACACCAAATATGTCTTTTGTACTTCACAAAATAACTTGAATACATTGTTAGACTGACTGATTTCTCTATTAAAATAACTATTTCTTTCAAAAAGAATATATTATTTAGAGCACTCATGTAATCATTTAATACTATTTATTCTTCATGTTTGATCATTTATTGAATCACAGACAACAGACAACAAGCAGGTTTCTCTTTTCCTTATTTTTTTAAACACCAAAAATACCGACATGGGCAAAATGACGTCGGTTATTGTCATAAAAGTCGCTGTCGGCTAATTTTTCGGTTCATCGCCCAGGCCTACCACCTAAATTACATAAAAGATCAGACACTGTGAAAACAAGATCAATAAAACCATATTTTATTCAAAATCCAAGATTAAAAACATCTAAAATAAAATCTGCACAATTTTCAGACAAATTTTGGAAACAACAAACGCTGAGTCCTTCAGACTAAAGAGGAGAGGGACGATCCAGACTGTAATCAGTCACAGCTCAGAAACTAGCCTCTCTGATGGGATGGGGGTGCATTAGTGCCTCTAGTTTACACATCAGGAAAGAATCCATCAGTGGAGAAAAGTACTCACAGGTTTTAGATCCTGTTCCAACCAGGACTGAAGAACATCTAAAATCCTCCATCAGACCAGAACGAGACAACAAAACCTGCAGACCTGGTCTCCTCAGGTCCTCTAAAACATTCAGACCTGGTTTCATCAGATCCTCTAAAACCTGCAGACCTGGTCTCCTCAGGTCCTCTAAAACATCCAGACCTGGTTTCATCAGATCCTCTAAAACCTCCAGACCTGGTCTCCTCAGATCCTCTAAAACCTGCAGACCTGGTTTCATCAGATCCTCTAAAACCTCCAGACTTGGTCTCCTCAGGTCC